CCCCCCCCCTCACCTGCATGCCCTTCACCCCCGCCTTGCAGAAGAACTTCTTCACCTCCACGTCGATCTGCACATCACCCACGTAGCTGTGGGGGAGGAGATGCTGCCGGGGGGGGGGTCGGCCCAGGGCGGACCCCCCCCTTGGGGGGGGGAGGGGGGGGGGTCAGCCGCTCACCTGATGTTGAGGTCCAGCAGGATCTGCTGCTTGTGGGTACCAGGATGTGCCCGGACCCCCAGCACACGGAGAGGCTGTGGGGACAGCAGTGAGGAGGGGGGGGCACAGAGAGTGGGACGCAGAGTGGGAGTGGGGCGACCCCCGGGGGGGGCTCTGGGGGGGGGTACCTTCTCGCCCATGTCCACCCTGGTGAAGGTGAAGGTCTGCAGGTGGGTGTTGGAGGCGCGGATGGAGGGCGCGATGCTCTCCACCAACAGCTTCTCCATGTAGCGCCCAAAGAACGGCCACGTCTGTGCCAGGATCTGCAGCGGGACGGACATACGGACAGAGGGAAGGATGAGCGGACAGAGGGACGGATGGAGCGAGGGATGGGGGGAGAATGGGCAGGGAAGCGGGTGGGTGGGTGGATGGGTCAGGGATGGACGGACAGAGAGAATGGGCAGGGAGACAGACGGACAAGCAGACTGAGAGAGCTGGACGGACGGACAGTGGGATGGATGGAGCGATGGGTGGACAGACAGTGGAAAAGGCAGATGGACAGAAGGATGCAGGGGCTGGCGGGGGGACGGACGGGCGGACTGACGGACAGACGGTTGGACTCCTCACCTTGTTCAGCCATTCTGCCCTCTCCACATCTGGAAAGTTCACCTGCGGGGTGGGGGGGCGTCACGAGGCCTCAGGATGGGCGCCTGCAGCCCCGCCCACCGCCGCCCGACCCCCGCAGCCCCGAGCAGCCTCGGCTTCCCCCCCCCCTCCCGCGGACAGCCGGGCCGGTGGAGCCGCGCAGCTGTGACCGACATCTGGCAGCGCCGCACGAGGGGCCCGAGCTGGGGGGGGGGCACCGGGCCGTCACTTTCGCTCCCCCCCACGCAGGGTGGCCCAGGCAGGAAACGACCCCCCCGGGCACAGCGATCCAGGGCGCGGCCGGAAGCCCCGGGCTCCAACAGGAGGGGCCCCCCCGGCTTCACCTCGTTGCGGAGCGGTGCGGGGGGGGGAGCTGCAATGCGGCGGGGAGCCCGAGCCGAGAGCGGCCGTGGCGGGGTGCGTCGATCCCCCCCCGGGCACCGCTTACCCACGCCGGCAGTTCCCCGCGGGCCGCTCCCAGCCCCGCGGCGGCGGAGCGCACGGCCGCTTCCTCGTCGCTATGCAGGCGCGCGGCCAGGCTGAACGCGCGCTGCCGGGCGCGCCGCCGCCGCCTCCATCCCGCGTAAAGCGCCAACGCCAGCAGCAGCGCGCCCGCGCCCAGCCCCAGCAGCCCCGCGGCGTAGGCGGGCAGCGCCCAAAGC